AAAGAGTGTGGACTCTAGAGAYAGACTACCTGGACTTTTTCTGAACATACCATATAATAATTATATGACTCTAGATAATATTATTTCACCCTTATGAATCTGTTTCTTTAATTGCAAAATGGCATTATTAACAGTACCTACTTTGTAAGGTTGGTTTGGTGATTAAATAAAGTTAGGCATGTGTATTATATATATCTGGAATTTAGAATAGTGTTTGGTACACAATATGTTCTTAATAAATATTTACTATTTCATTTTTACAATTTTTAGGGACATAACAAAGCAGAAGTAAGAAAATCACGTGATCTTTCTCTCCAGACCGAGAAACAAATTCTGAAAGAAAAACTGCCAGAATCATGGGCTGGGGTTGTAGCTCAATGGTGGAGCGTTTCCCTAGCACATGTGAGGCACTGGGTTCAATCCTCAGCACCAAATGAAAATAAATAAAATAAAGGTATTGTGTCTCTCTACAACTAAAAAAAAAATTTTTTWAATCCTGACAGAATCAGTCATCACAGGGTTTGAAAAAAAGCTTATGAGAGTGGGAAATTGGCTGCTAAAGTAAAGTGAGTTTAGAATGATGGGTACTATCTTGACTGCTACAGATCAAGCCTCTGCATGCAGAATAAAGTCAATTTAAACTAAGAAATGGCCCAGTGTTTTAGATAAATTTATACCTGAATTTTCAGGTATGTGAACCAAAATATTCTTTGGTTTTAACTAATTATTCACTTTCAACCAAAAAATTATGATCAAAGTGTTCTTAGAGCTTTATAACAAATTTCTTTTTGGTGGGGGAGGGTACTGAAGAGTGAACTCAGGGACACTCAATCACTGAGCCACAACCCCAGCCCTATTTTGTATTTTATTTAGAGACAGGGTCTCACTGAGTTGCTTAGCGCCTTGCTATTGCTGAGGCTGGCTTTGAACTCTCCTGCCTCAGCCTCCCAAGCCACTGGGATTACAGGCATGCACCACTTTGACCAGCTACAAATTTCTTTTGTTTTGCCTAAAGTGGCTCAACTTGGTTTATGCTACTTGCAATCAGAGGTTAACCAAACTATGATTTCCAAGTTAAATCAACTGTCTTAATTAATATCTTGTTAGGACATGTCAACATCTGGTTCTGACCCAAGAATCATTCTAATTCTTTGTTTACTTGTTTTTATTTTTTAATATTTTAGTTGTCAATGGACATTTATTTTATTTTAAACATTGTGCTAAGAATCAAACCCAGGGCTGGGGATGTGGYTCAAGCAGTAGCGCGCTCGCCTGGCATGTGTGCGGCCCGGGTTCAATCCTCAGCACCACATACAAACAAAGATGTTGTGTCCGCCGAGAACTAAAAATAAATAAATAAATATTTGAAGAAAAAAAAAAAACTCCAAAAAAAAAAAAGAATCAAACCCAGTGCCTCACACACACTAGGCAAGTGCTCTACCACTGAGCCACAACCCCAGCCTCTGTTTAGTTGTTTTTACTTGACATGTAATAAATATACATATTTATGGGTCACAGTGTCATGTTGTCATCTAATTCTTTTAAAATGTGAAATAAAATGAAGAAAATTTAATTTACCAAAATTACAAAGAGGCTCGGTAGAGCAGACAGCCCATACTAGCAGAAGCTATTGCCTACAAAGTAAAGTGTACTTTGTCAGTGGTGGCAGGAAAGCAGAATGTCAGAAAGCTGTRTAGCGCACAATGTGATCTCAGCTCTTTGACATCTCTTCAGTAAAATAATTGGATTCACATGTTTTATTCAGGTAGATATTTTCATGGACTTTAATGTAGGAAAAGGGCTGTCACCTATAAAGAAATAGAATCTGGGGCTGGGGATGTGGCTCAAGTGGTAGCATGCTCGCCTGGCATGCGTGCGGCCCAGGTTCAATCCTCAGCACCACATACCAACAAAGATGTTGTGTCCACCGATAACTAAAAAATAAATATTAAAAATTCTCTCTCTCTCTCTCTCTCTCTCTCTCTCTCCCACTCTCTCTTTAAAAAAAAAAAAAGAAATAGAATCTGCAGAAGGCTTGGAAAAGCTTTTTGCTATCTTGGGCCACTGAAGATAGGTCAAGTTCATTAATTCATATGTATATGGATGGATGAAGAGAGAGAGAGAATTTTTTTCAGTGCTGAGGATGGAAATTGGGTGTGTATGCATATGTATGTGTGTGTTCCTAGGATCAAATCCAGGGCCTTATGCATAATAGTGTTCTACTACTGAGCTATATCCCTAGCCCTCTCCTATATTTTTAAAGATCAGGAAAGCCCTGTTTAATATCAGAGCTACAGATGATTTAAAATAAACCAACTTTAATCAGTGAATTAAAGTGGATATAAGTTTACTTCTCTGAAGGCAATCTCATTTCCAAGATTCATACCTCACAGTGGCTCTCATTCAGTTTCAGAAGAGGTTGTTAGAAAGGTTAACGTAGGCAAGGCAGGCCACAGTTGAAGTATGGGACAAGAGAGACAGAGACAGATGGACAGAGGGAACACTCAAGCATTCAAGAGGGACAAAAGTAGTGGCAAGTGACCTAAAGGTATCTAAAATCAGTTCATGTGCCTGGTATTATTGATGCATCTTCCAAAGATTATCAATATTTTATTGATAAATATGTATACATTTATATTTATTGTTGCCATTGTTGAATGTAACATTCAGTGGATTTTTGTCTAGTCATAAGATTGTGCAACTATCAACACAAAATAGTTCCAGACCATTTTCATCATCCCGGAAAAAAACTGTACCCATTAGCAGTCACTTCCCATAAACCCCCCCTCCTCACAGTCCCTGGCAATCATTTATCTACCTTTTGTTTCTATGGATTTGTCTATTTCAGACATTTCACATACAAGGAATCAAACAATATGTGGCCTTTTGAGTCTGTTTGTTTTTACTTGTYATTCATGTTGTATGGATTTCCACAATTCCTTTCGAGGTACACCCAAGGACCTCCCACCAGGCCCTACATCACTGATTTTTTTTTTTTTCAAGACAGGGTCTCCTATGTTGTCCAGGCTGGCTTCAAACTCATGACCTTCTGCCGAAAGCTTCTCAGTAGCTGGAATCACAGGCTAGTGCCACCATAAGTGGTTTAGGCCTTACCTCTTAAAGACCAAGTCTTTAGCATATGGACCTTTGGGTGGCAGTACCCACATTTAAGCCATAGCACCAAGGAATTCCTAGGCATGTCAAATAATAACAGTTATCTGTGAAATGGGTTTTAAAGGGAGTCAAATCATGTTCTTCCCCCTCCAAAAGCTGCTAAATCAATGGTTTTCACTGTTATTGTTCTGTTTTTCTAAGATACCATGGGATTGGGAGAAAAATATAGGCCTAAGGCAAATTACTATCCCAAATACTTCCCTATTGTTACCAAGATTCTGCTGTTTTTCTTGTACACTCTCTGCTGGGATTATTATTAGTTAATTTCCAGAGTTCTAAAATGTTGATATTGACTATTTTTTTCAGAGTTCTTGTTGATTTTTTGGAAGGGAGAATTTTTAGGAATCTTTATTCCATCATTCTGGCTAATGCACCCCACTAATTTTTCATATAATTATTTGTTTCACTTAAATTGTATGTGAATCCCTATCCTACTGTACCCTTCCCAAATGGAGATGATAATTTAGCTGAGGCCCATATGGAAAGTTTTGGGTCATTTGTTATAAAACATTTAACACTTAGTAAGCAAACTAAGTTGTTTAGTGCAGTACTGCATATATAGCACATACAGGAAAGTGAATATGTGGGCGTAAGTGTGCTTGTCAATACTTGCCATATGATAGCCTCTCTCTCCTTTTATATGGCACAACTCTGCTACTAATTCATAAGATGTCCACTGCACAAATACTGGGTGGGGTCCACTGGTGAGAGAACGAATGCATCAAGTGCAGGRGGGCTAATGCTACAGAAGCTCAGTCAATGACATGAAGAAAGTTCAAATACTCAAGATTCTAGTTGTTACCATGACAACAATATTATATAGGAATTTACAGATTTTTTTTTCCAATACTGAGGGCTGAACCCAGGGAGTCTTTACCACTGAGTTACATGTCCAGCCCCTTATATTTCTTATTTGGAAACAGGGGCTTGCTAAGTTACTGAGGCTGGCCTCAAACTTGTTATCCTCCTGCCTCAGTCACCCAAGCTGCTGGCATTACAGGTGTGTGCCACCACGCCCAGCTGGAGATTTACAAATTTAAGAAACCGTTGTAGTTAAAACTGATCAATACTTATTTAGAAGCCCACTTTTCTATTTCGATTACAAAGTCAAAACTTTATAACAGGTCATTGAGTTACAACATCTTAAGTAGCATTATTATAATTATTGTTTTTTACACTTTATCAAATCATTTGACTTAGGGAGAGATTTTAGAGTGGAGGGAGGTAATAGAGACGTTTCCTTCAAGAGACTGTAGTAAAGACCATTCAGCTGGTTTGTAGCAGAGTCTAAGGAGGTCATTGATATTTCCCAAAGATATTCCTATTCATTCAGTGAATACCGAAGCTTAAGCTCCCAGGAGTTCAGCAGGAAAGGGCCAGGTTAGCTCACCTGTGCTTTCTCTCGCCTGTCCAGCGCGCCGCCCAAACCGCACTAGCATCTCTAACTAGTAGCACACCCCGCGCCCAAACCCGGATAGGAGACCAGCGCAGAGTAGACTCCTGCCTACGGAGGGTTTCCCTGACCACTTGGTTGCTTAGCAACACTACCGGAAGTGACGCAGACTGTCGCCGAGGAACCGGGAACGCACCCTAGTAGGAGGTGAGGCTCGGGATCTGAGGCTGCGCCTGCGCGGAAAGCGGAGGTCGGGCGGGTGAGTGGGCGGCCCTAGCGGCCAGGCGCCGGGGCGAGGCTGGAGGACCGGACCCGCGGGAGCCTCGCGGACGCCAGAAGGGCTGCTGGCTGCTGACTCCCGGCGTGGGTCAGTGAGAAGACCCCGGGCCCCGGCCCCGCCTGCTGCTCCCATCCCCACCTGGTGCGCGCCTCTCGGGGGTCGACCCCGAAGAGGTCCCGACGCCTTCGTTCGGGGTGGACCCAGCAGGTGTGTGAGTGCGAGGCCTGGGCTCGGTGTGTGTGGCCCACAGACCTCCTCGCGGGTGGAATGTGAAGGGAAAGCCCTCCCTTAACTCTCAAACCCAGGGATTAATTGACACAAAAGCTATATTTAAATGATTTGATTTCTGAGGTATTGATCAGGGCTAGGTGGGGCTAAGTTTTTTTTTTTAATAGGACTATTAAAATCTGGATGTTTTCCCCAAAACATTCATGTTTGGACCTTTAAGCTATTTTGAACCGCCTCGTAACTAAATGATAGTAAATTGAATGTATTTTGAAGACCAGTCAGATCTCTATAACGACACAAAAATCGGTGAAGAGTGAGTGTGCGCCCTTGGTTTCAAAAGATCCTTCTCAAACACCTTGATGTACAGATGATTTCATTACTAATTAGTTGCCTGCGACACGTATACATTAGGCATCAAACTGAAGTCACTCAAAATGAAAGCACCTAAGATTTTTAATAAGTAAATTTCTAACACTTAGTTGTGCTATTTTTCTTCAGGTTTTCTATCAGATGTTCCACTGTAATAATGCTGGTAAGTATGGAAAGATTAATAAAATATTTATATTAATCGTAATGCTAACAAAATGTTGTGCACATACAACACTGATAGTTTTGGGGAGAGCATAGCTTAAAACTCATCAAGAACTGGGAAGGGTAGGAGATTTGACCCTGTTTGCAGGCTAAAAACAGCCTGTCACAGTTTTGTACAACACCCAAGAATCCTAGGTCAGAGATGAATGAATTACAGCAGTAGCCAGAATATCAGCAATTTTTCCTCAGTTCCCCCAAGCCAGAGTGTTGTGAAGCAGGCCAGAGTCATGTGGATGTGGAATGAGCGTCACAGGACAGGAACTCTGAGTTGAGGGAACTCAAATCTTTTTTTTTTTTTTAATGGACAGCAGACTTGTCTTTCAAGGCTGCAACTGTTCAAACATCCTCTAGACAGTAGTCCAGAGCAATGGACTGTGACTGCATTGCTTTTAAGATGTGCAAAATCATCAGAGATCATGGGGTATTGAGTCCCAACAAAAATTCTGTAGAGTTTTAACAAAAAGTATTGAATCTCATAAGATTTGATGTTAAAAATTTGCCAGTTTGATATGGTCAGATATTATTGACACCAGGTTGCAACTCTAACCTGTACATCTTCACAAACAAGTTGATCTAGAGTTAGTTATTTGTTGTTCTTAGCCTCTCACTCTTATTTTTTTGTTGTGAATTTAAGAAGATACCATTTGCACAATGATCTGAAACAGAGTTTAAGTTATTCTGGGGAATTTTTTTTTTTACATGATTAATGTGGAAGGTAGAAACTGCAGTTGAACTACTCATCAAGACCCTACTGCTGTGCACAAAAACATTTCTTTTTTTTTTATCTTCTTCTTCTTCTTTTTTTTTTTTTTTTTTTAGAGAGAGAGAGCAGAGGGAATTTTTCAATATTTATTTTTTAGTTTTCGGCAGACACATCTTTGTATGTGGTGCTGAGGATCGGACCCGGGCCACACGCATGCCAGGCGAGCGCGCTACCGCTTGAGCCACATCCCCAGCCCCAACATTTCTTTTTTAAAAAACAAAAAGGGATTATAGTGTAAACACTATTTTGTGAACTGAACATCATAGCTTTTACTGGTTGAATAAATATTCCTTTAGATTGCTATCAGACACATACTTGATTTAATCAATCCCCAATTCTTGAATGTCTGTGTAGTTTCCAGTTTTCATTGTTATAAAAAGCACATAGGTTGTCATTACCTTTTGGAAACATTGCAGACATACCTCATAGATGCTACTTGTGGGGAATAGTTAATAACTGTTTTTGGAATTTTAACAAATAGGTTTCAAAWAGATTTACATTCTTAAAACTAAATCTTTGTGCACTTAATCTTTTGGAGTTATTTTTATTTTGAGTACMTCACTAAATCTCTGAATGTTTACTGAAAATGAAATGTGATATTTCTTTATTGCTTAATGAGTAAAAAATACTGGAACATGGAAATCTCAATTGGCTTAACACTTGTGATTTTATCCAATGGATAAAATATTTTTCCATATACCTTTCCCTGTTTTGTATTTATTTAAGGTTATTTGTGTATTCAAAGGGTTTTATCCTGTTGCCAAAAAAAAAATGCTTTTCTGATACAAGAAAAACAGCATAATTAGAAAATACAACTTTTAAAATACTTTTATTAATTGTAGGAGTTAAGCGGTTTCCATTTCTGTGCTCCAAATCAGAAGACTTTTTTCCCTGCATACAGTATAGGAGAAATATTTAAAAACAATTGGCAACTGACTGGTGTTTAAAACTGAAGATTGTCATGACTGTTTAACCTAAACTCTATGCTGAAGTAAGATTAATTGTATTGGAAATACTAATTTGGGTAAGTATTTTTTCTTTTTTTTTTTTTTTTTTGTGGTGCTGGGGATTGAACCCAGGGCCTTGTGCATGCAAGGCAGGTACTCTACCTACTGAGCTATATCCCCAGTCCCAAGTATTTTTAGTAAAGGTATATGTTGAATGGTGAAAGAAAAAAGATCTAAAATTAAGAAAAATATATTCCTAGGTCAGCATTAAAGCCATGTTAACTTCAATGTCATGATATTTTGAGTCTAACAGTTCAGAAATGTCAGTAATTTATTATATACTAAATATAGGCTGGAGGCAGTTTTCAACCAACAATAAGTTACATTAGTTTTTTGTTTTTGTTTTTGTTTTTAATATGAGCTGGGAATCAAACCCAGACCTTCATACATGCTAGCCAAGTGCTTTACTTCTGAGCTTCACCCCAAACCCTAGAAAATTTTTTAAAATTACAAATGCCAAATGCTCATAATAATGTTTAATCTAAAATGTACTTATAGTACTAATGTGATCATCAACTATGCCTTATTACTATTTATTACATTGGTTCTATGGAAAAGTGAATTCTTCACTTAAATCTCTGGGAGCCAGTAACAGAAACCTGGATTAAGCATTTATAATACAAGGATCCAGAGTGTTAGCATATTGTGTACCATCTAAATTCATACAATAGGATTTTCTAACTTTGAGAGAAAGAATACTTTCTCATGTGTGCTTCAAGAGCTCTGTTATGTCTTTACTACATATCTTTTGTAATAAACCAGAAAATGCACGTGGTTAAATGGTATGTTTCCCATTTTTAATTGATTTCTTCTTTTTCTTATTGGTGGAGTTCTACACTTTTTTTTTTTTTTTTTTTAGGATTTCTTGCTAAAATCTCAGGATGGTTATAAATTGGATCACAAATGTGGTATTATAATTAGTGTGTATTTTGAGACTAATGAATATTTTTCTATAATTAAACATGTTTTTAACCAAGATAACCTACTTTGTCATTTTTTTTAAGTTGTAAATGGATGCAATATCTTTTTTTATTTAGTTTTTATGTGATACTGGGGATCCAACCCAAGGCCTCACATATGCTAGGCAAGCACTCTGCCACTGAGCTACAACCCTAGCCCCTGTATTTTATTTTTAAAGTAATGTATACTTTTTAATATTCTGTTTCTTTGACACTGGAGTGTTGTACTTAAAAGCAAAAACCTTGGAATTAAGCTGAGTCCAAAATTTCAGTTCTAATACTCAGCTACTTTTAAGTTTCAGTTTATATTTTTAGGATGAGGATAATAATAATTTTTACTTAATAATATGTAAAAATTAAATGTGATAATTGATGATTGTAAGTCCCCAGTCCCATGCCTTGCATATAATGGTTACTCAAAAATATTTGCCAATTTTTTTTCTTTTTGTTTGCACACACAAGTTCTAGCCTTTCCTGGGTATTCTATAAAATTGCTAACTTTTTTCATATGATAACATTCATTTATACTGTCTGTTGACCTGCTTAATTTTCCCTTTTCTCTTGTGATTTATAATTAATGGTTTTCATTATTTTTTTTCTTTCTTCTTTTTTTTTTTTTTTTTGTTTTTGTTTTTGTATTGGGGATTGAACTCAGAAGCACTCAATCACTGAGCTACATCCCCAGTTTTTTTTTGTGTGTGTGTGTGTGTTTTATTTAGAGACAGAGGTCTCACTGAATTGCTAAGGGCCTCACTAAGTTGCTCCTCCTGTGTCAGCCTCCTCAGCCACTGGAATTACAGGCATGCACCATCTTGCCCAGCTGTTTTTGTTGTTTTCTAATTAGAAACAATGAAAATAGAGACTAATTTGTTCCATCACAAGTAGTGTTATTACTCAAATACATTCAGAATATTTGGCCCTCAAAGCTGAACTATCTAAAGAAGATGTAAATTAATGTGAAAACTATTAACAAGAATTATTCTGGTTTGGAAGAATTGAATTGACCTCCATTTCTCAAGTAATTCTTTTAGAATCTTCATGATAACATTAAGCAGTCACCTAGTTATAACATTGGCATTTAGAAATTAATTTCAGCTAAATACCTTTTTAAAAAATTATTTTACATTTTACAGGATTACATGCTATGTTAAATTTGTTCAGAATTTTAGTTACTAAGATTATATGGAGAATCCATATTATTTATGACCTGTTATTTAATGTGAGGATTACTGAAAATATAATAAGGTAATAAAATGACTGATTGATAATTTAAAGATAGTAAGGATGATTCACTTGTCTTCTGTCTTATAACTTTTATAAATTTGACTATAAGAGATTACTTCATAAATTTCCTTTCTGGATAGCTCTGTAGTTTCATTCTGAGTGCTCAAAGAATCATCCCCACAGAAACACGATAATACTGAGTATCATTTCTAGATATTTTGTTTTCGATTCACTTAAAATACTCAAATATGGCCTGTGCCTCTTAGGAAAAAGTGATTAAGTGATGATCTTAATATGCTTAATCACTTGTTCATATTCCTTGTTTAGCAGATTAATAGTTACTTAGGCTTTAAAATTAGTTTAATAGCCAGTATGCAAACACAGTATGTTTAGGGAATCATATTTCTTCTTTTTCAGGGTAACCCAAATCTATTTCTGGAACCATGAAAATTTTGTTGGTGTTTGACTTTGACAATACAATCATAGATGACAATAGTGACACCTGGATTGTGCAATGTGCTCCAGACAAAAAACTTCCTATTGAACTACAAGATTCTTATCAAAAAGGATTTTGGACAGAATTTATGGGCAGAGTCTTTAAGTATTTGGGAGATGAAGGTGTAAGAGAAAATGAAATGAAAACAACAATGACATCAATACCTTTCACTCCAGGGATGGTGGAACTTTTCAACTTTATAAGAAAGAATAAGGATAAATTTGACTGCATCATTATTTCAGATTCAAATTCAGTCTTCATAGACTGGGTTTTAGAAGCTGCCAATTTTCATGATATATTTGCTAAAGTGTTTACAAATCCAGCAGCTTTTGATAGCAATGGTCATCTCACTGTGGAAAATTATCATGCTCATTCTTGTAATAGGTGCCCAAAGAATCTTTGCAAAAATGTAGTTTTGGTAGAATTTGTAGAAAAACAGTTACAACAGGGAGTGAATTATACACAAATTGTGTATATAGGTGATGGTGGGAATGATGTCTGTCCAGTAACCTTTTTAAAGAAGAATGATGTTGCCATGCCACGGAAAGGATATACTTTACAGAAAACTCTTTCCAGAATGTCTCAAAATCTTGAACCTATGGAATCTTCTATTGTAGTTTGGTCTTCAGGTGTTGAAATAATTTCTCATTTACAATTTCTAATAAAGGAGTAATATACCAACAATTGAAATGTGTATTAGTTAAGATTAGGTTCATCAGCATAAAACTAAGACCCTTAACACTAGTGGCTTAAAAGAAAAAAGAAAAAAATTCCCCTCTCTCTTCAAAGAAGTCCAGAAGTATTTCAAGGCTGCAGTGTTGCTCTACCAAGCACTTGGCTTTCAACTCATTAGGTTGTGTAAGCTCCAACACTCACAGCAACATTCTGGCTAGCAAGAAAGAGGGCAGTTAGAAGGTTACAGCTCCTGGTTTAAGGGAATTTCCCAGAAYTGTACCCAAGATGTCTTTTAAATACCATTCATGAAAACTTAGTCATAATACCCCACCTAACTGCAAGGAAATGGCAAATACAGCTTTCCAGGTGGTCATGTGTATAGGAAAAATTGGAAAAAAGAGAAGTACAGAATTGAGGTAGGTAAAACCAGTGGTCTATGCCAAAGGTATAGTTGGATTGTGTTTTTTAATTTATTCCTAGAGAGAGTGGCCAAATTTTCTTAAGGTAATTATTTTCAAAAGTATATCCAGTAGTTTCAGATCTTAAAAGTAAGCCTGATGCCTTCCCTTGCCACCCCCAGTTATTTATTCATATAAGAAAAAGAGGCTTTCAGCTGGGCACAGTGGCACATTGCCTGTAATCCCAGCAGCTCAAGAGGCTGAAGCAGGAGGATTGCAAATTCAAAGCCAGCTTCAACAGTTTAGGACCTAAGCAATTTACCAAGACCCTGTATCAGGGCTGAGATTGAGACTCAGTGGCAGAGTGCTTGCCTCACACTTATGAGGCACTGGGTTTGAAACTCAGCACCACATCAAAATAAATAAAATAAAGGTATTGTGTCCATCTACAACTAAAAAAAAAAAAAAAGGTGCCCCACACCCCGCTGGGGATGTGGCTCAGTGGTTAAGCACCCCTGGTTCAATCTCTGGTACCAAAAACAATAATAATAAGAGGCTCTCTCTCAAATCAGTGTATTTTAAAGATAGAGATGCTGGGTCTGGGGATGTGGCTTAGTGGTAGACACTTACCTAACACAGAAGGCCATGGGTTCAATTCCCAGCACCATTAAAAAAAAAAAAGTGGGAAGACTGGGGTTGTGGCTCAGCAGTAGAGCGCTTGCCTCACATATGTGAGGCACTGGGTTTGATCCTCAGCACCACATAAAAATAAATAAACAAAGGTATTCTGTCCATCTACAACTTAAAAAATATATTTTTAAAAAAATAGATGCTGGGCTGGGGATGTGGCTCAAGCGGTAGCGCACTCGCCTGGCATGCGCCCAGGTGTTGGGTTCGAGCCTCAACACCACATAAAAATAAAATAAAGATGTTGTGTCCACCAAAAACTAAAAAATAAATATTAAAAAAATGGATGCAGTATTGATTGTCCAAGTTCTCATCAACTTTATTTCTTTTTTAAATAAAATACATATTAATGTCCTTCAATTATCTTAAGTTTATGTCTTAGCATCATAGACAATAACTAGTATGTTGGGTTTAATCAGTGTGTTATTTCTATTTGGCAATGTAGTTTTTTTTTTTTTTTTTTAATAGGGGGAGTACCGGGGATTGAATTTAGGGGCACTTGACCACTAAGCCACGTCCCCAGCCCTATTTTGTATTTTATTTAGAGACAGGCTCTTACTGAGTTGCTGAATGCCTTGCTTTTGCTGAGGCTGGCTTTGAACTCACAATTCTCCTGTCTCATCCTCCCAAGCTGCTGGGATTACGGGTGTGCACCACTGCGCCTGGTGGCAATGAAGTTTTGATCAATAAAATAAGTAATTTGTAGGACTATTCAACATATAAGAGACTTTCATATAGGGATATTAGCAAAATATCAACTAATATAGAAATTTTTACAAATCTATTCTAATTTCTAAACTCATGTTTTAGCCATAAATACTCAGTATGTAATAATATTAGGATTTTCTTTTCCAAATTATGTGAAGCTCCAGAAATATAAATATTCAGTATAATTTAGTGAGGAAAAATTGATACTCTGCAATCTTTTTTAAGTTAAAAGGTAGATCTTTGTTTTGCTTTAATAGGTTAGATTATATTGAAACACATCTATTCTTATAAATTACATTTGTGTATGCTCAGACCACTAACATTAAAAATTATAGAACTAAAAAAAATTAGATTTTTGGACTAGGACTGTAGCTCAATAATGCTTGCCTAGTATGTGGAAGGTCCTGGGTTAAATCCCTCCCTGTACCACAAAAATACATAAAATAAGTTTCATTTACAGTAATGGTCGGCCAAGTGATTTTCTGCTGAGCATAAAAGCTGACACTTGAACAAATGTCAAAAACATCTGATTAAAGACTACAGAGAGCTGACAACAATGAAGAATTTCTAAGAAACTTTGGTAAGTAGACTGTTTTCCCTGTAAATTGCCCTATCTGTAAGTGGTAGCTGAGGCATTAAGGGGTTATGTTGATAACTTCATGAGACCAGAGGAAGAGACACTGAAGTATGTCTGCATTGGTAAAGCTTTTCCCTCACTTTGAGTCAGGGGAAAAGGATCCTAAGTAGTGCTCATTAGGAGTAAGAATGATCCAGAAGTAAATATACCTTTAAAGGGATGGCTTTAAATACTCTGTCTCTGAAATTGGATTGAATCTAAGATTTTTAGAGTTCCCAGGTGCCTGGCAAAAGCAAATCTAAATTTACTTCTTACGAGGACTAGGTATAGAAGACTCTTAAGCTAATCCCTGTCATTTGGTATTCCTTGTGTGTGTGTGATCTATGGCTTGTTTCAAATCAATAAAATAACATGAAGATGACGGTGTATACATGATTGTATATAAATAATTACATCAAATGCTCATGCCCATCTTAAGAGCAAACTGGCATGTTGGAGCTGGCTGCTGGAAGAAGCCACATGGCCAGCAAGTGAGGGTGGTCTCTAGCCCCGATTCCAATATTCTGCAAGGAACCAAATGCTGCCAGCAACCTATGATTTTCGAAGTGAACCTGCTCCAATGGAGCTTCAACTGAGACCAGCTAACACTATGACTGTAACCTTAGACCATGAAGCAGAGGATCTTGCAATTAAGACATTAAATTTATAGAAATATTGTTATGCAGCAGAAAGAAACTAACATACTAGTCCTCAAAATAAATGTGACCAGGCACGTGGCACACACCTGTAATCCCAGAACCTTGGGAGGCCGAGGCAGGAAGATCCCAAGTTCAAGTACAGCCTTGCTAACTTAACAACTCACTAAGAAATTTAGTGAGACCCTTCTCAAAAATAAAAAGGAGACTGAGGTCGTGGCTCAGTGGTAGAGTGCTCACTCAGCATGCACAAGGCACTGGGTTCTATCCTCAGTGCCACATAAATGTAAAATAAAGATATTGTGTCCACCTAAAAAGAACTAAAAAAGAAATACTTTAAATAAATAAAATAAAAAGGGCTTGAAATGTAACTCAGTGGTAAAGTTCCTCTGGGTTCAATTCTCAGTACTCCAAAAATAAATAGATCTGTGAAGTTTTGCAAGCACATTATAGGGTACACAATAAAAGTAGCCACACAAAGAGACATGAGTGAAAACCAGCAAAAATTGTTTTTTAAACACATCTGCAGGACCTCCAGATATTGGAGTCCTCAGAGACAAACTTCTGAGAATTTTGGCAAAGAATTGAAAATTATATTAAAAACAAAATGGAAATACTAGAAATGAAAATCAGAATTTTAATGAATAGATGTGACAGCAGAGCAGGCAATAGTGAAAAAGAATTGGTGAATAAACACAAGTTAGAAGAAAATAGAATGATGCAAAGAGGGACAAAACAATGAAAATACAGAAGAAAAATGTTGTAAAAAGATCTAATATAGGAAAGAGTGTCCCAGGGGAGAAGAATATAGTTTGTAAGATAATGACAGAACTTCACAAAATTGATGAAAGACATCAAACTAGTTTTAAGAACTAATATCAACTGGACATAATAGTCGTAGACACCTGTATTCCCAGCTATTAGGTGAGACTGAGGCAAGAGAATCTCTGGAGCCCAGAAGTTCAAGGCCACCCTGAGCAACATAGCTGGAAAAAAGAAAGAACCTATGAACCCCTAAACAGGATAAATAAAATGAAAACCAAATACGGATATGTATAGCTCAGTGGTAGAATGCATGCTTAATGTGCACAAGGCCCAGGATTTAGTCCCCAGCACCAAAAAAAAAAAAAGAGAAATCACATTATAAAACTGCTGTTGTAGCTCAGTGGTAGAGTGCTCGCCTAGCATATGCAAGGCCCTGGGTTTGATCCTCAGCACCACATAAAAATAAATAAATAAAATGAAGGTATTGTGTCCAACTACAACTAAAAATAAATAAATGTTTTTAAAAACCTGCTGATTAACAAAAATGGAAAGAGTATAAGGCAGCCAAAAATAAATATTACATTAAAAGAAGCAACAATGAAAATAATAGCTGGTCATTATTTTTTAAAATGCTTCATTGACTTCAGCAGTGACCAATTTCAACTTCATGTAGGCTTGGAGTTTTCTTTGTTGGAAGGTTTTTAACCATATTTGAATTTTTTTATTAAATGAAGGACTATTCAAGTTATATCTCTTGAGTGAGCTTTGGTAATTTGTGACTGTATTAGTTATCTATTGCTGCATAATGAATTACCTCAGAACTTAATAGCTTTAACTTGCCCTGGTGGCTCATGCTTCCCAGCTACCTGGGAGGCCAAGACAGGAGGATCGCTTGAATGTAGCCCTGGGCAACAACTCAAGACCCTTTCTTCTTGAATCTCTCTCTCTGACTTTTCTTATGATGACACTTGTGATTACATTTAGGGCCTACCTAGACCATCCAAGATGAGGAAAAAAAAATGTTCTAAGTTGTCCTCAATTTAATTACAAGACCAGAGGATAAAGGGGAGGAGTGCTGGGTAAGGTTAATTAGTTAATAGCTACAGTCCATAAACAACAAAAGTCCGCTTCTCAGTTCTGAATGTATATTAAAACCTTACTTCAAATACCA